CTCTGACCGGCAGCAACCACTCTTGAGGGCTTCAGCCAGGAGAGGCTTGCTTAGCCCTACCTGGAGACCCCCTAAGGGTCTCCCTCCCGAGGCCTGACTCTGCTTAGCTTCTGAAACCAGCCGAGACCCACGGTGTGCTCTTCGGTGGTTAGATCCGGGTGGGTGCCTTCTCAGCGCAAGGCCAGCCTAGATCAACCCCCCCCCCCGCCCCCAGTTCCTTGGAAGCAGGCAGGCCCTCCCCTCCCTCCCTCCCTCTTCCCAGAGTCTCCTCTACCTCCCCTTACCCTTCCATTGGAAACTCGAGGGACATCTCATCATCATCTTCCTCCTCCTCTGGCTTCTTCAGGGCCAGAGCGAAGAAGAGGGCAAAGATCACTACCTGGAGGGCATTTCAAGACAAGACAGAGGAGCCGTGAGCATCATCAGCCCTTGAGATGCTGCTACTTCAGGCTCAGCACCACCCCCCAGCCCCAGTGCAGGATCCGTCTCAGGGTGGAAGAGGGTCCAGGCTTTCTCCTCCTCCTCAGATGAGCCCCACAGCTCCTCTCAATGCGTTTTGTTGTTCATAATGGGCAGAAGGTAAGAAAGGTCCATTTTTGGACTAAAAATCTCACCGTCCCTCAGCCAGCTTGCCCATTCTAGCTGGGGGATTCTGGTATTTGTAGTTTGTTTTTTTTTTAAGAGCCTAAGTTGCGTGTATGCCTATATACACTTCTCCCTTGGAGTTGGGATTCGGTAGTAATCTTCTGATCAACCTTCCTGTTCTTTCGGGACTCTTTGAGAAAACATGGGAAAGAGGAAAGAGGCCCCATGTCCTTCATAAGGACGTAAGGAGGAGCCTTCTACAGACTCCATATGGCCAGCTCTAGCTGGCTTCAACAGATCATCATGGTTTTAAGCTAGGTTTTCCCCTCTTCCCACCTGGAGAAGATGAGGGGTTCCGCCTCTGACTTCCTGCATGGGAATCAAATGCTCTACCGCTGATCCGTGACACTTCCCTCGAGAGGTAGAGACCGGTGACATTTACCTTCTAGTGAGACAGACCTTTGCTGATCTAGCTGGTATTTTTTAGCTAGTATTTTCATCACCCGGTCTCCAAGGTTTCAGCCAAGGATCCTTTCTCAGACCTACCTGGAAATGGATCCTAGCTGAGAGCTTCTGCGAACAAGCAGGCGCGTTGCACTACACAACGAGAGGTCTGTCTCTCCGCAGACCTCCTTCCTCTTTGGCCATCTTCCTTTCCCCCCTTCCTCCTTCCAAGGGAACCTCCGCCCGCCTGCCCGCCTGCCCGCTGGCCGGGGAAATTCATTGGGCGCCCGGCTCCAACCTTGAGGGGCTGGAGCACGAAGAGGTTCTGGCAGAGGGAGATGGCGGTGGAGACGAGCCATCTCTCGATGCTTTCCCGCCCGTAGTGGAAGCCATACAGCAAAACGAAAAAGGTGGAGACTGCGCTGAGGGAGACCAGGAGGGCCCAGCCGACAAAGACGCTCCACCAAGGTAAGGACCACCTCCACCTGCAGAGGAAGAAGCAAAGGATGGGGCCGTGGGGGGAAGCCAGCCCCCCCCCCAAAGTGGTGGTTGACACTCCCTCCAAAAAGGGCAGAGGAAGAAAAGGATTTGTGTGTGCTCCAAGGTGTGGTGTCGTGGACAGAGCATCAGACAGGGACTCGGGAGACCTGGGTTCAAATTCAAGGAATCTCCCCAACAGCACATGACAGTAGCCAATTTATAGGTGTAACTGGAAAATGAGAAATGCTTTTTTTAGCCATTGAAGCAGAGTTACAATGCGCCTAATTCACGTGAGCCCCAGAGAGCACAGATTGGCCCTCCCACTGAGTCTGCTAGGCAGGTGGTGCTCACGGGGGGGGGGAGATGATGGGTAACACAAAGGGCCCTAATCTCCCTCTTTGGACTTCTTTCAACCAGGCTGGGCCACGGAGAGCCCCCTCAAAACGGAGAATGTCTTCAAAAGGAGGGCTGCTCCCGCCACACCCTCTCCAGCGCCACGCTTCCACCTACTTCTTGTGGGCCTGGGGCACTGGCGGGAGGTGCGTATCCAGCGCTCCAGCCAATGCGCGGACCTGCTCCAGAGCCTGGGCATGCCTGGCCGAGGCTGGTCCCACTTCCTGCTCTTCCAGGAGACGGGCCACCTGCTGCAGCTTCCGGAGGACGTAGCGCTTGCTGTAGGACTCGTGCGACGCGTCAGGGCTGGGCTTGGTGCCTACGTAGGTGGGGAGAATTACTCTCTCTCTTTTTGGCTGCTGGTGGGCAGAGGTGGGTCTACGTTTTGGGGGCCCTGAAGCTTGAAATGTTATTGGGGGGGCGGCTGTCCTTCACAACCAGCGATGAGATCTGAGAGCCAGGGTTATCTTCCCCAGCGGGGTTGTTCCATGAGCGATCACCACATTTTAAAAAATGTGGACTGAAGTGGCTTCTGGGGCCGGGCTGAGATTAGGGGCCCTGAAACTTAAGCTTCCTTCGTTTCAGAGAAGATCCGGCTCTGCTGGTGGGCAGGACCGCTTCAAGAATAACCCCGGGAGTTTATACGCTTCTCTTGAAAAAGGTACCTTTTCTGGTGCTGGGCTTGGGGGTGGTGGTGTTGGAGTCCTCTCCGTGACACCAGCGGAAGCACCACAACCCACCATTACCCACTGGTTCAAGAAGTGGAAGGGCCAGCATCACACAGATGGGGGGGAGGGAGGTTCTCACCTGCACTGTCCGCCTCTCCCTCGGGACCAGGCAGGATCATACGGGCCAGCAGGTGTAGAAGCCCCTCAAGATCCAAGCTGGGTGTCAGAGAACACTGGAGCCCAAAGGATCCTGGCAACGTCCTGGCTCTGCTGAAGGTCTCCACCGCACTGCGCAGGTTCTGGAGAGGAAGAGACACAGCCAGAAACACGCCAGGTGAGTCCCCCCCACCTGGAAGAAAACAGGTGGCAGCACAAGCTGATGGATTGCCTGCAACCTCCAACAGAAGGGAAGCGGGGGGGGCACACACCTTCTCTGCGGCAAGAAACCCACCTCCCCCAGCTGAAAAAAAAAGGCTTGCAAAGGAATGTTTATGCAGGTTCCCAAAGGAAATGCAGGCCAATGGGACAGGCAAATATTTCTCCCTGGTGTAGAGTTTTAGTGGGTGTGGAAAGAGGCCCGGGGAATCAGGGGCTGGCAGGGGCCCGGTGGCTTCTGCGCTTTGCCCCTACACTGCCCGTTGACCCCCTGGCCTCTTCCAAGCTGGCACGGCCTGAGCACCAACGTGTCTCTTAAAAGGAGAACACCCCCCGTCTTGGGCAGCTCCCCACGAACCCCAGGGGCGTTTCCTGCTCCGTTCCGGGAGGCTGCCGTTTCTCCCACCTCCAGCACAGCGGCATCCAGACTCCTGGGGTCAGCAGGCACGTCGGGCCTGGCCACGATCCGGAGCGCTCCCTCGCTCCTGCGAGGCTTGGTGTTTTGGAAGAGGAAGACAAGCAGGAAATTGATGGGAAAGGCTATCAGGGCGCTCTCGGCGCTCACGACGACGTCCTTCCAGGCGAAAGAGAAGTAGCTGCCTGCGCCACATGGGGGGGTCAAACGTTGACTCCTAGAAAACATCTGCTCTCCTCGCCCCATCTGTTCACTGAGGCCATGCCCCCCCCGACAAAGATCTCCCCACCTTCCTGACCCAAAGGGGCTGCAGCTCCCTCCCAGTTTGGTCACCCTTGTGACGCACGAGGGTTTTCTCTACCAGCCAGGCTTCGGAATAACTTTGGACAGAACTGGATCAGTGACTTTTTAAAAATCACGGATTCATGTGACTCCTGGCAGTGTCTGGAATTACTCAGCCTAACAGTAGGGCCGGCTCTACTCTTGACCAAATAACAGAGGCCGACCCTACGATTTGCCAGAACATTCCTCGCTTGGATTCTAAGTCCTAGAATTGTCGACCAAAAAATAATAATATTTTTGTGTTCTTCTTGTTACAGCACTGAATAAGGAACTAGTTACAATATGAATTACAGGGCTTGTTCAATGTTTGCCATGCTCTGTCACTCAGCAAAGCCCTAGACACTTAAGATTGATAAAATAACAGCCTAAAATGTGAAAAGCGCTTCTAAAAATGCCAAAATCCTTCATTAAAATGGCCTTCTAGCTTTTGAAAGCAACTAGGAAGCTAGTTCTTCCTTGTTACATTACTTTTGAAATATAACATCACCACAACCCTGTTACCCAAAAAGGTAACTAGTTACAGGCAGCTACATTACTTTTAGCATGGTCCTTTAACGGCTCTGTCTATCTTGCCCCATCGCTGCCGAGATTCCCAGTCCCGGCAGGACTCTCTATGCCAGCCCGCGGCCCCAGGGGCTCGTTTCGTACCAACACTCAGGAGCGGAGGGGACTCGTCCGCCGTTTCCCAGAACATGAGGCTGATGAGGGACGAGCAGAGCAGGAGGCACCAAAAGCAGGAGATGCGCTGGACCCGGGTGAAGGCCGTGTGGGGAGGAGGCCTCAGCACCAGCAGCACCGAATGCTCGTCCCGAAAGCCGCACAGGACTCTCTGCCAGAAGATGGTCCTGGGGGGGGGAGGCGTGGGGGAGAGAGAGGGCTTGTGGTGAGCGGAGCTGAGAGACCCAGACGCTGGAGCGCCTTCCTCCAGCAAAGCTGGTTATTTAATTGGCTGTGACTGAAGTGGGGCACAGATGCTTGGGGGGGAATTCTCTACCTTCTGTGCCAGAATTCTTGGGCTGGCACTGGGCACCTTCCAAGCTACCAGCAACAGCTAAGTCAGGGGTGAGTGCATTGTCACCCTCAAGATGTTGCTGGATACAGTAGAAACCCCATATCCACGGGATCGGTATCCACTGATTCACTTCTCCATGGTCTGAAAACATTGAAGTTCCTAGAAAATATCTATTTCTAAAAGTGAGGTTACCAGAACTGGCCACTAGAGGGAACCAGAGACCACGCTTTGCATAACCTTGACTATTAAAAAAGAGTATTTTCCTATCAATCCATGTATTTCATCATTGGCTTGGAACCCATCCCCCGCGGATACATGGGTCCTAGTGGATGACTTCTTATCCTCCCCAATAGTGGGCAAATGGGAGGTGGAGTCCTACCACCTCTGGAATGGCCCCAGTCCCCCGCCTCCTGGTCTGGAAGGGGATGGCTTTGGGGTCTTGATAAAGACAGGGAAGCTGATGAGACTTTAGCTGGGATGTAGTCCCTTCGTCCGTCCGTCCCCCCCCCCCCGNAAGCTTACCAGAAGGTGGGGTCCCGTGGGGCTGCCAGGAAGTGCTGGGGGGCACAGAGCCCGTCTTCTCCTCTCGTGAGCCACGCGTGGCAAGGGAAATGGAAACGCCCTCTTTCCTGCAGATCTTGCACAGTTACTTGCGTGACGTACCTGAGAAAGGGAGTGGGTGCTGGGGGTGAACGATAGCGGGACAGCCTGTTTCCCCGGATCGCCACCCTGTGTCGAGGCTTAAATAGCCCATGGTCGTCTCCCTTCCCTCCCTGGTGGGACAGGATTCCTCTGCCTGGCAGCCGGAAGTCACGAGACCCACCCTTAAGGCTGCTGGGGGGAACATGGCAGTGGGTGAGGCTCGCAAAGGAGAGGGAGAAGGGAGGGGCCTTTGGGTGCATCATGGATCTAATGCCACCCCCCCTCCCCAGCTGCCCTGCAGCCATTCCGGTCCTTTGGTAACACGGTCAAATTATTTGTTGGAGACAGCAGGTCGCGAGAAGCCTAGATGCCTTAAGTGCTGATTTGCACAGCAGGAGCTTTCCATGTCCCCTGTAGCTTGCAAATCAGATTGCTTTGTGATTGGTCCTTGGCAAGGTAAACAAGGGCTTCATTTGCAAGCCTGGTGGCTCAGGCAGGAGAGTCTGCTGGAATCACATCCCTGAATCACTACTAAATCTTCGCTTCGAAGGCTGTACTCATGGGGCACTACACCATTTAGGAGCCTCTGCCTTGTCTACCCAGGCTCTCCCCTCCCCTCCCTCCTCCACACAGACTGACCGGGGAGGCACTGGGCTCTCCTGCCACAGCCAAATGCTCTGGAGCTCCCCGAGCGGGCACGGCTCACGCAGAAGGAAGAGGGTGCCACTGGGAGGGAGGGACCGAGGCTTGCTGGTGCCCGAAGAACCCTGGAGCCAGAGGCAGACCTGCTGAGGAAGAAACGGTGTGGGTGGGCGGGCTGTGGGAATGTTTACAACCTTGCCTGCTGCCTCTCATATGTAGGTGTGGCCGGGAGGGATTTTTCTGGACTGGGGTGGCTGTCAGTCTATCCAGCACTAACCAATCGTCCCCTCCTGCCTCTGATTTCAAAGAGAGCCCCACCTCTCTGCTGAGTTCCTTTCCTTCCCTAGACTCTACTGAGGGTTGCTGAAAGCAGTCATGTTGATCCATTTGCTGCCCGATCGGTTAAACCACTGTAAGAAAATGATTTTCATTCTTTCAACAACTAATGTGTCAGAGTGAGTCACTGAGACCGTTGTAAGTGCCAATTAAGGAGGAAGGGGGTGATCTACTTTGGGGGACTGGAAGCGATTCTGTTCTACGGATCCCTGCACTTTCTCCTACACAGACAGAGGGATTTAAACACAATTCAAGATTCTGCAACGTGGGAGGGGCTCTGGGGAAGCCCCGGCTGGCATTCCCCCCCCCACTCCATGCAACTGTACTGGGCAAACTACTCACTCTGCAGGAGTCAGAGTCGTGGCCTGGGGGGCCCGGGGGGCTGATGCAGAGCAAGTACCCATACTGGGCACAGGGGTCATCATCCAGCAGGACTGGCCTGATCTGGGGAAAGGAAAGAGATGATTTCATGGCCACAGAGGAGCTGAGGCGAAGGTGGGGTGAGGGAAATGCTGAGGCCCATTGCAGACTTTTTCGGCTGCATCTGCTTCACCCCGAGGAGCAGCTGTGTTTAAGAGGGAGCGTGCAAGCTTTTTAGCCACACAGAACACTTTGCCAGGATACCAGCGGCAGAGTGGCTGCCCGGGCAACGAAAGCCAGCCCTACCTGCTGGCTGTCGGGGGGAGAGTCTTAGCACCTTGAGAGCCCCACCTGCACCCACCCACCCAGATTCACTGTCCGGCTTTGTCCAGATGTATGGCTAATGGCTTTGGGTACCCGTTTTGCCCTTCCTTCCTTCCTGGCGGGCTCCTCTGCTGAGGGTGGCAGAGAAGCATACCTTCCAAGGGGTGATGCCCTTGTGGCTGGTGGCCATGCGGATCCCCTGCCCACCTTAAGGCCCTCTCGAGAGGCCACGAGCCACCTTCCGCCCCCTCCCTGCTACCCCTTCCTGGTGGCCCCTGACCTGGGGCTGTGTCCTCATGTCCATCCAGCGGGCCCAGGCCGCCGTCCCCAGGAAGAAGGCGTAGAGAACTCCCATGAGGATCAGCATGATGGGGTTCTCGCCCAGAAGGGCAAAGTACTCGGCCGTGCGCACGACGTCCACCTGGACTGGCATCACCCACAAGGCGCTGCCGTAGAAGGAGAGGTGGCTGCAGAGGCAGTGGACTTCACCCCACCGGCTCAGGGGACCCACCTGCAGGGAGAGCCGAAAGAAGGAAGACTCGGGAGAAGGCCCTGGCCTCCTCCTCACGAGTAGGGCAGGCCTTGAGCAAAAGGAACCTCTTCTTCCCCCCCCCCCCGAGCCTCCTCTTCCATTCAAAGGCTGGCCACCTCTGCCCCAAAGGAGCATGGAAGACAGGGTGGCGACCCCCCTCTTCTGGACAGGCTCAAGTCCTTCAGAGGCCCCTTCGGAGACTCACCGCGCAGCCCTCCTCACTCCACTGGCCACTGCCGGGGTGCCAGGAGACGCACCGGACCCCATAGGCCCCGAGACGCAAGGCGAGTGGGACCCCGACGGAGAGGTTCAGCGGCACCAGCAAGAAGCGAGAAGCTCCGTCCCAAACGGGAAGAGACGCTGGCCCCACGAGCCAGGTGCGGCCACCTGTGTGGAGAAGAGGGGGGGGAGGCCTCATCCAACCCACTGAACCCTCCCGCCGTCCTTGAGGTTTCTGCTCCTTCGGCTGGCCTTAAACCACGCTGAAAAGCTGCAGCAGACCTTAGCCTCTGACCAGCAGCCCCCCCACCCCCAGTCGTGACCCTTCCTGTCCCGGCTGCTAAAGCGGGGGGGAGTCCAACAGAGGCCCTGCCGGGCTCTCCCTCCCGTTTGGGGGACAGCCCCCCCACCAGCCGCTCCCACTCAGGATCCCTCCACACCCACAGGTACACCGGGAGGCTGGAGCAGGCGCCCCCCCCCAGGGCTTCGCCCGCCCTACCTTGATCCTCAACCAGGCTGGGCTCCACGGCTTCCAGGCGGTGCTGATTCAGCCGGAAGAGGCCCCAGGGTTGCCGTGGTTCGGGCTGCCCGTGGAGCATCAGGGAGCCCTCTGTCCACGTCACGTTCACGGTCAGCAACAGGGCCTCTCCCGGAGAGACGTGGAAGGCCGGGGCCAAGAGGGCAGGGGCCGTCTGGGGCAGGAAGACCTGGGAGGGTTAAGAAGCCCCCGTCCTCATTGTCATAGTCTGGGAGCGACAGAGCAGGAAGGAACCCTGGGGGCCAACCCTGGGGGTCAAAACCACAGAGCTGTCTGGCCATTCGTGGCCATTCGCCCCAGCTCCTGCACCACCGCAGTGAGGTACCCATCAGCTAGCAGGCTCTCCCCCCCTAACCCTCCACTCTCTGTGGCTCAGCAAGAAAGCACTTCTCTTCTTTCCTCATGCAAAGCATCTCTGCGCTGGGATCCAGGCCATGGGGGGGCGGTTGGGGGCCAGGATCCCCCTGCAGGGCAGGAGGCGTACCTGGACGGGGTCGCTCAGGTTGCTGACGAAGATCTCGGTCTCCCCTGCCAGGAGGTCCAGCTCAGCCACAGCTCCTGTCACCTCTTTCTGGGATGAGCTGGAGGAGGAGAAGGGGCTGCCCAGGAAGCTCGCCAGCTGGAGGGAGAGAGAGCCGAGAGAGAAGGACCGTCAGCTCCAGACCCTGCTCGGCCACATGGCGAGAAGCCCTTCTTCCTCTGCCTCTGACCTGCACTCTGATGAGGGCCCCCGGGGGCAGGAAGGCCTCCAGCGCAGACGGCCCTGGCAAGATGACCCTGGCGGCCTTTGGGTGGCCTGGGAAGGACAGCGTTGCGTTGCCCAGGTCAGAAGAGATGAACCTGACTCAGAGGAGGCGGTGGGGGGGGAGAGGGAGAAAAAAGAGAGGAGGATGAGAGCAAGAGCAAAGCAACGCTGGCTAATCGGGGTAGGTCCCAGATCAGCCACTTATCTGGACAGACAAGAACCAGCTGAAAGAAGGGTCCGGCCCTTGCAGGACAGGCTGGCTGTGAAGGGGTGGCCCGAGCCAGAGCCCCCTTGTGGAGTGGTCAGTGTCCGTCCTGCAATGCCTTCCCCCTGCGCTCCTGCTGGTTCCCACCACCACCACCACCACCATGCGGCCTAGGGCTCTTAGCTTGACACCTGTGTGCAGAGATGCTGATGAGAGCGGACTCGAGGATGCCCTCCTTATCCTGCCACATGGCCTTCTCCAGACGGTGAAGAATTTGCATCACGGACCTAGCCAGGGCTGCCTCCTGCTGCTGCTGCTGCTGGAGACAGAAAAGGCCTCATGGTCAAACTGCACATCATAGGCAACCCATCCTTAGAAAAGAAAATTCCTTAAATTCTGAAAACATCTGACTCTCAGAGTGGGAGCTTTTCATGCTTTGTCAATCATTTCGTTTGTTCAGAGGACCCCGCCGGCTTTCTCCCAGAGGGGCAGAAGGCACAATCAGCCTGAGGGCAGGGGGTCCAGCTCCCTCCTCTTGCCCCCCATCACGGCATATTGGGCATGTACTCACCTGGATGTTCCTGGCAGGCCCAGGTGAGCAGCGCCCTAGGGAGGCCTGGAGGAGCCGGCTGCAGCCACGAAGGGCCAGGATGCTGAGGAGCGGCCAGTGGGGGGAGGCACGAGCGTCCCTTTGCAACAGATGCTCACTCACCGCCTGGAACAATCTCATCTCCTCATCCTGGCACAAAAAAGCAGACCCTTTTAGATGCCCCCCCCTGCCAGGCATCTCTGCCTTTTCCCCTCCCCAAGGAGAAGGCGGAGAAGGTCCGTGAAGGTCTAAGATAGGACTGAACCCCAGGAACACCACATCTCCTGGTAACTGACAGGATTTTATTGGGAGAGGATCTCTCCCACCCCACCTCGGTGTGGGGAGGTATTCTGGGCTCTGGAGCCAAGAGGCAGCTCCTGCGCCTCCCCGCTTCCCCCTCCCGGCGCCCAGTCCTAGGAATACCATCTTGGAGGCACTCCCGAAACCATCGTCCTCTTGCACCGGTAGGCTCAGCCGATGGACCAGCTCCTGCAGGCAAAATCAGAAACTGGCGTTCAGAGGCAGGTAGGTGGACAGGCAGGTCAAAACTGAGATAGGGAACGAGGGGAGGACGGGGGGGGGAGGAAGGATCTAAGCCGGTCCTTCAGCTTTTTGCTTCTCCCACCTCTTCTAGAAGGACGGCGGTTCTTACACCTGGCCAAATTTTCCTTTGAACGTTCCGCTTTTTCTCATACGCCACAAATTTTAGACCCTTTAAACGGAGCCTGGGAGAACTTGGAAGTCCCCCCCCCCCGATTGGCAAGTTTTTGTTGAGCCAGGAAAGACTCTATCCAGAAATGTGTTTTTCACGGGTGGATCATGGGGCTCTGTGCTGTTGGGACAGGAGAGAAGCTGTCGTGGTCTTGAGACCAGGGATGGAGGGAGAGGGGAGAAGACATAACGATGTCCAGCAGTAGCCAGGACAGGATGGGCNCTTCAGCTTTTTGCTTTTCATTATATCTGCCGCCGGTACCTCTTCTAGAAGGACGGCGGTTCTTACACCTGGCCAAATTTTTTGGAACGTTCCGCTTATTTCTCGTACGCCACTAATTTTAGACCCTTTAAACGGAGCATGGGAGAATTTGGAAGTCCCCACCCCCTCGTTAGCAAGTTTTTGTTAAGCCAAGAAAGAGAGTAAGCACTCTATCCAGAAATGTGTTTTTCATGGGTGGATCATGGGGCTCCCGTACTCCCTCTTGGCCAGCCAGTGCAGGGGGTGGGGAGGGGGGGTTGGTTCACCTGCTGCCAATTCTTGGGCTGGACGCTTTGCAAGGCCTCCCAAATCGCTGTCATCTCTGGGGACATTAAAAAATAAAAGATGTCCAAGTGAGTGTGGGGTAAGCTTCCCTCCAGCATTCTTGAACACCCCCTTCTGGACAGGACAAGGGACATTAAAAAAAAATGTCCAAGTGAGGGTGGGGTAAGCTTCCCTCCAGCATTCTTGAACACCCCCTTCTTGACAATGAAGTGGCCTCTGTCAACCTCAAACGGTCCTTGAGATGCTCTCGGTTCCGCAGCCCAGGAAGCCCCTCGCCCGGGAAAAGTGCCGTCCAGACAGGCCAAGGCCGGTCCACGCCATGAAATGGGAAGCCGTCTGCTTTCATCCTGTGGATTTCCCCTCCTATTTTGCAACAGGTTCTTTCTGTACCGTGTTGCACCTTGGCGGCTGCGTCCCTCGGAAAGGTGCCTTAGAAAGGCCAGCCAAGATCCGGTCACGAATGTATAGCAGCCAGGGCACCATCCATGTGAACCTCTGTGGCCCCTTGTTGCCAGAGGGCCAGGTGTGTGTGTGGGGGCTTCCTCTTGGGTACTATGTCACCTGACATGGTTCAAGCCTTCCCCCCCCCCAGACCTCGTGTGGGGGGGTTCCTTTTGGGTGCTATGTCACATGACATGGTTCAAGCCTTCCCCCCCCAACACACACACTAGCTCTTCTTTTGCCACCTGGGGGCCCCCATAGGTTTTGGGGCATGTATCTCATTCCCTGGCCCTTTGTTCAAACCAGGTCAGGGAACAAGCAGCACTCAAAAGGGGATCAGTCGGGACCTAACAGGAGGGCGCCTGGGTGGTCCCATTGGGGGCCAGAGAGAGAACAGGGGCCCGGCCCTCGGCAGGTCCCACTTTGGTCCTCTCTGCCACCTGGCAGGGCTTTGCCCTCTCTTCCCCCCCCCCACTCCCCTTTTGCTGCAGATCCCTGAGAAGGAGAGGACGCTCCGTCTGGCGCCGGCTCATCACCTGGGTACGGCTCTTCTTCTTCGTGGCCAAAGAATCGCCTGAGCCTTTGCGTTCTCCTCCTCCCTCCCACAAGGCTCCCTCGAGAGGGTGGCTCCTGAGGGGGGGGCGGAAAGAGAGAAGAGGGTGGTGATGAGCTGAGACGGTGGGCAAGAGGGAAGGAAGCCAAGCCGGGCAAGGCGCCTCCCTCCAGCGGTCCCGACGTGCACAACACGTCGGCTGTTCTTCCTTCATCCTTTTTTTGCAGGGCGGGGGGGGCATTAGTGAGTGCTGCCTCTCCCCAGCGGTTCTGGAAGCAAGGGCACCGCATCCGTTTTGCCAAGAGGCCAGGGCAGGGCAGTTGGCATGACTAGGGCAGGAGGAGGGCCGGGCGGGCCATGGAAAGGAGACCCTTTCGGGTTGGGATTCAGAGGGAAGAGCGCTGGCTGTACCTACCTGGTGAGTCTCTGGGGTTTTCCCAGCCCTGACTGTGGGGCTCCTGGCTCTTTGGAGCGGGCACTCGGCCCCCTGCCCAGGTCCTGCAAGAGGGAGCAGCGTGAAAAGGGGTGGTTGGGTGGTTGGCTAGCCTCCCGGGTGCAAGAGCATGCCTCCCGCTCTTTGCTCCCAATGTCCAGCCCGGGAGAGCTGCCTTGTCCTGGTCCTTGATCAGCCTGTCCCCTGTCTGGTCAATGCTGACCGGCAGCAGAGGGTCCGTGGGTCTCTTTCCCAAACAGACCTCCTGTGATCATCCCCCATCGAAGGACTAACTGAGGCTGACTTTGCTTTCGCTTCCAAAATCAGAGAAAAAAGCACAGGGCGACCTGGTGGTATGGCATGGACCAGGAGGAGCCCACCTAGGCCTGCCTTTCTAGCTGGCAGGAGAGTCGCAGGTAAGCCACAACCCCACCTTCCCCCCCCCCCAGGCCTTCCTCTCGGCTTCCCTCTTACCAAATTCACATATAACGGGGCGCCTCTCCAGGCACACGGCGCCCAGGCCCCTCTGCAGCATCCCCCATCTGGAAAGGAAAGCACAGGCCGGAAGGCGCCTAGGATGATGGCTCTCCTTCGGCCAAAGCCGGATCCCTGGGCAGGAGGAAAGGAGGTGCCTTTAACAAATCATATGAAAATGAGAGGAAGTTCTTGGGGCAAGGTGATTCAAACGAAGCCCCAGCCGCCTTCCTCCCAAAGAGGCTAGCCTTGAACCCAGCGCCGTGGGTTTCCGTGGGGCAGACCGCGGGCTTTCCAGAACGGAGAAGTACTCTACCCCCTTTCTTGCTACCTTGCCGCTTCTCCCCTTGGCCTCAAAAAACAGCAGAAAGACTAACAGATTTATTACGGAAGCGGCTTTTCTAGAGGCTGGTTGCCTGTTCAAGTTTTGAACATTTGAACCTCTTTTCTTGAATACTGCGGTACCTCCAGATACCCGTTTTAGCCTTCTGCATCTTTTGTGTGTGCACGCTCGTGTGTGTCCGTGGCTGCACAATAAAATCAATAGATCGATGCTCCTTTAGAACATCGCTCCCCCGAATTTCCCAAAGCAGAGCGCCCAGCGGCCATACTGTCCCGAGACGCCGGGCAGCTGTTGTTCCCGGGATGCCCCGGGCTAATCCTTCAGGTCTCCGTTGGACGGTATTCTCAGAAAAGCTTCTGCCTGAATAAATCTCTTAAATCTTTATGATTCTGCAGGGCACCTTCACTCACCTGTGCCAAGAGGGTCCTCTGTGGCCACCCACCAGCTCGGGGCACCTGCCAGCTCTGTCCTCAGAGCCTCCCGCGTTGCTGCCCGATGGACGTGGGCCAGGCGGCTCCCCCAACGCCCGCAGGCAACCCAGGCTCTGCCATAAGGCATCTTTTCCCGGACCAGGTGGTAGCACATCCCCCCGAGTCTCTCTGGCACAGCACCTGCAGCCCTGGGCGCCGGCCCGGCCATCCTGCCAAGGGTACCGAGCAGCAGAGCTAGGCTGGCAGGGATCGGCAGCTTCCACGCCATCCCGGGAGGGTAGGAGGAAAGGAGAAGATGGCTCGATAGGGCTTCTCCCTCTTTTTTTCTGGAGACCCAGTGGAGGCGCCAGGGGAAACGGAAAGCCCCATTTGGGTGGCTTTTGTTTGCCCAGGAAAATCAGGAGCAGCCAAACCACTTCTGCAAACACCCGGGCTGAGAAATTTGACTCAGAGGAGAACCCTGGACCAAGAAGGGGGTGGGCAAGGAAAGGGTCGTGGGCAGCAGCTCTTGGGTGGATTATATACCTTGCCAATACAAAATACGGTGGGCTTAAGATGTTGAGGTCCTACCAAGATGGGGACTGTATTTTGTAGTGGCAAGGCACATATATATGTGCCTACATATATATAGGCAAGGCACACACATATATACAGTATGTGTGCCTTGCCAATACAAAATAGTCCCCATTTTGGCAGGACCTCAACATCTTAATTTACAGCTGCAAGTTTGATCTGGGCCCCAAAACGGGAAAATCAGGAAAATCTGAAGATGGAGGAACTGTTTTAAAAAATTATTGGATATTGCAGAAATGAAAAATGGGAAAATCAGGAAGATCTGAAGATGAAGGAGCTGTTAAAAAAATTAGTGGATATTGCAGAAATGGATAGCCTATCAGAGGCTTTACGTCCCAAGAATGTATGTTAAAGAAAGCTGGAAAATGTTTTATGATTGGGCACAGAAACAAAATATGAATAGAGAATACTGTATAGCCTATGATAGGGATTTTAGTACTGTATTGTAACACAGTTGCAGTGCCAAGATTAGGGTTAGATCTTGCACTACTGTAAACACTTCCTGGGGGGGGGCTTTGTTCTGTTGTGTTTTGTTTTCTTTCCTCTCCCCCCCCATGTATCCCTTTCCCTTTGATTGTTGTTTGATAATTAAAAAATAAATAAAATGATTCAGCAGTGAAGAAGGTAAGGCTGGCATCTCTCTCTCTCTCTCTCTCTGTGCGCGCGCACAGATTGCACCTTCCTTCTCTTGGGGCGCTGAGTGGCCCCTCCAGGCTGGGGATCTTGTGTTGGAAGCCCCCCCCCACTCTCCCCAAATCGGATGAGACCAAAGTCCAGTAGCTTCCCCAGTAGCTTCCCAGGATCTGCTC